GATAACAGCAGGAAGACCCACACCTCAATTAAGCACAAACAGATACAAACAAAGCATACAGTTCTGAATTAACTTCTACTGCTCTGGCCTGATGAAACACATCCCTTCTGAGTGGAGGGAAATGTTCTCATATACATCATGCTACTACTGTCCTCTTTACTTATTCTTAGCCCCCTTCTCTCTCCCTGTTTAACAATCCATTGAAATAGCATTTTTTTTCCAACAGTAAAATGAACCAGTCCCCAGCTGCTGCCCTTATTCATGAGAAAAATTGAACGAACAGCAGTGTATTACTTCTAACTCAAAAACCTAGATATTATTCCTGTACTTATGCTGTCAATGAAAAGAAAATAATAATGGGAATGACATTTTATTAAACTAACAGCACTGTATTTTCACATATATTCTCAGCTCAGACTTTGTGTACTTCCTTATATTCCATCTTTAAGCAAGTCAGGACGTTTTTGCCCCAAGTGTAAAAGAGGGGCACAGACATATATGGCAAAGAAAACCAACAAATTTAGGTTGATAAGTTGAGATAACTCCCTATGGAATATCCTACCTTTTGCTTCCATATTCCTGGCTCATTCCCACATGCTAATATACCATATGAAAGCAACATTAATTCAACCTATTAACCTATAAACAATAATAGATGTCTGTGCTAAGCTCAAATGTTGCAGTGGCAAAAAAAAAATAGGCAGTGGGGCAGATACTAGTATTTATGATGTTATTAATTCAGACTTCAAACAATTCATTCATAGCACTGCACTACAGGTACATGAAAGTTGCCCCTTTTCTTGTGTTTTCTCATTTCATTAAACGTATATCTTATTACAGAAAACTGGCTTGAATTTTGCCCACAAAAAGCACATGAATTCCTAACCTTGCTGTTTTCTCTTCGAACTATGCTTTTTCCCTATATTACCCTTTACCTTCACATTCTGAGAGCACACAAATAATTTAAGCAACAGATAAACTCCTGGCTGCTTTTGGAAGTGCAGTTTCTCTGACTTTCTTCAGATGACATGAAAAAAATTTGTTTTCCCTAATTACATATAAAATCCAACTTCTCCCAACAATTAAATAGGCGGCAGTGTTTTAGAGTAGCACTGTATTTAAACCAAGATATGGCTCTACTTCTAAAAGTTTCAATATACTTAAAACATATAATATGAAAACAGGTAGTTCACATTTTTTCCTACTCTGCTTCAAGATCCTTTATGGTCTTGATCTAGTAAAAAAAGAAAAAAAAAACTTTTACATGTGTTATAATTATTTTATAACACACCTTCAGTAATCACTTTGTATACTTTGTTGATGGATTATAAGTTTTAAGTACTGGCTTACACATTTAGCAATAAGCACAGTGATGTCAGCCGGAAAAAGCCTCGCAGCTGACCACATTAGGAGCTAAGTACTAACTCCTGAAGCAAATTTTAGCTGTATATGCATGTTTAGCCTTTCTAGCACACGAGAAATTGCTAAATCAAAACACAGCAAAACTGAAAATTGATTGGTTTATATACTGTGACTCTGAAGCTCATTTAAGTGACACGTAATCAAGAGTACCTTTGTATATTCAGATTTTACTTTCTGCCTCAAATGACCCAATCCCAATCTTGCTTCTCCCAAATATATTCCAAGGTTTCAGCAATCCTACCCACCATGTATCTACACCCAGGTTTACACCAGCTTCCATGGAATTAACAGGGATACAGATTGGAATGAATATTAAAATGAGTCACATAAGTTCCTTAAAAAGACATTTAAAGCTAATGAAGACTTTGCCATTGACCCTGACTTAATTGGAATGTTTTATCTTGATAATTTTCTTAAATTTTTTTCTCTTCCAATTTTTCTCTGAAGCAGTTTTGGGTAGTATTTTTATTAAAAAAAAAAAATAAAAATTGAAACAAGTTGTACAACACATACAAATAGATAGAGTTGGAGGTCTACACAAACAGAGACCACAGCAATACACATTTTAATACGCTTTTAATATGAGATGTTGCATGTTAATGTCAATTAGAAGTTTTATAAAGCAAAGATTAGGATACTGTGGAGATTTTACATATCTCCAAGGATATTTCAATATTTTAGCAGGATTTCCCCTATTACTTTTCAAATATGCCATGTAACTTTCACACTTGTCATACGAAGAGTCTTCCTGTACTGATTTTATATCATTATCATATTTATTATCCCATTCCTTTATCACTATACACAATTTTCCTATGTATACAAACATACTTACACGTATGTGTATATGCAACTCTAACCTCTTCCACATATTCTGGATATTGTTTAGCCTAAATAAAGTTTACTCGGTCTTTTAATGGGTCCTTGGATGCAATGCTGAGCATAAAACAGTTGAATCATTCATTCTAAAGTTTTCTCAAAAATTTTGAGCTAATGGTCCAGGTAACAAGATCACATTTAAAAGGCAGTTTTAAAAAGTTCTAAAAATTTTGCCCAACTTTACTTTTTTGTTTGTTTTTTTTGTTTGCTTGTTTTGGTTCTTTTTTGTTTTAAGGGTTGAGATGTTCTACTTCAGGGAAAAAAAAAAAAAAGAATCTGTCACCTCCCTAAGTAGGTGCTCTAGTATTTTAATTAATCTTCCAAGCTTCTTGAAAACAAACAGAGGTAATACAAAAGCAAAAGAAACAAGAAAGTTTTTTCATCCATTAGGGAACCTGAACAAAAGTCAACTAGAAGTAAGAGATACTCAACAAGCATTTTTAGTGTGGATTGAAGTAAGACGTATAATGCCTAATTACTTAAATAGTAAAAGCTGTTGAGGAAGTAGTAGTAGTAGTAGCAATAATATGCTTATATACTGGTGCCTTTATAACAAATACAGGGAATATAATTATTGTAACAATTTAGCACATGCATGACCCACTACAGGCTATGATAACACACTGCATTTCCAGTAAATCAGACTCCCCAGGAAGGGGACTCTTCAAAGTGTAGCACCAGTCTTATTGCTGCAAAAAACATAAAAATTCCCTTTTTTCTTCTTTAAATGCAGTAAGTTGTTCTCACATACTAATATGCCACAATATTATGATGTCTGCTGATCAATTAGAACACTGTTTTTATAACATTATTCTAATGTAATTTTTGTCCTTATAGATGGAAATTTACAATGCTTCAGGAGAAAAAAAAAAATCCTACTTAAACTGTAAAAATAACACAGCATAGTACACCACCACATTACTGATGCCACTTACCGAGGATGAGCCCAGCATGGATTTTGGAGACCTTATAATTCCAGCTATGGAATGACGTATAGTATCAAATCTTGAGACTTTGTCTTTCTTGTCCTAGGAGAAAAAGTGGTATCTCCAGTGAAACCTAGCAAATTGGTACGACCACTGAGTTACTGGAGAAGTGTCAGCTTCAGTGGGATTAGGCTAACTCACATCAATTTAACCACTGACAAATTCTATAATTTCTTAAATATTTTGTGTAATTATTTTAAGTATCACTATTGCTAACTACAAAGAGAACTGAAATTCTTTTGTATCCTAAAAGTACAGGGCATAATTCTCAGTTCTCTCTCTCCTGAAATATTATTTTAAAGGACATTGATTTTAAAACCACAGAATAAAAAAAAAGCCCCCATAGTAAAATGAAAATACATAGGTACATTATCCTTACTAAATATACGTTTGGGTTTTTTTCCTTTTATTAACATGTTCTTCTCTAACAATAGACTACTTGTAAATACTACTACCAATCAGTGCAAGTTATAGGATCCATTTGCTTTCTGGCATTATCATAACTCATACTTGTAGGCACCATCTGGATTTTAAACTCTGTAAGACGAGGGACCTAACTGGGACACTGAAACAGCCCTTAAGCACCTCTAGTTCAGCGTAAGTCAATGTAAATTCCAGACAGCTCATAACGTGACATAGCCCGAAGACTGTATATGTCTTAACCTCTGAGCTACCATCAGCTCTCCAAATTAGTATCAAAGAATCTTTCAAAAAATACAAAAATGTATTTTTTTTAATAGTGACAAACTGAGTTTATTGCTTGTAAATCACTCTCAGAAACAGGCAAGATATTTTAATGAGTATCTGCAAAGTAATTAAACCTGTAGCAGAGAGATCACACATGAACAACCTCATTCTAATTAGCTATAGGTTATCTAAACTGTATGAAACTGATAATGGAGACAGACTACAAGTGTTTGCGTGTGTTACAAATGAAAGTTGCTTCCAGGTTTTGGACACCCTTCACTGAAGAAATTGAAAATCTGATAATGTAATAAATGCAGCTTCAGTTCATTCCAGGACTTCAGAATAAGCAGCAAAATCTGTTTATTCTGTACACAGAATATACCAGTGTTTGAAAATGACACAAATACAATTTACTTAACAGGACAGAGGTTAAACATTGTCTCAGTAATATAAATTTATTTATTTGGCAGTAAAATTCTGCAATGTGCCTTAATCTGTATGTTGTGCAAAACAGTACAAAAACCAGTCAAACAGTCAAAACACTAACAGTCAAAACACAAATATGGATTTTATTAGTCCCTGAAATACTCCTTAACTACCTCTACCCATCAAGAACATTTTTATTCCTTTTCTCAGACTCAAGTAATATTGTATGCCAATTAATTTTCTTATAATAAAAATCTCTGTGCTGGGACCTGATTTTTATTTTTATAATATTGATGATTTAAACAAAAAAATCTTATTAACAATTCAGGATGACACAGTCTAATTTTGCTTGCATGCTGGGTGTTGAATGATCCACTCATTTCACACATCTCTTTAGAAGTGAGTCATAATATTTAACTGCACTTAAATGCATGCTTCTTATAGATCAGGAGAAAATAAGTTACCAAAAAGATGCAAGAATTCCATTTACACTTCCACTAAACAAGCTCAGTTGTTTTCTTTCTATTTTATGCTGATGGTATGTTTATCTAATGACGACACCAAACTGCAAGTATGGTTCTACATTCAGCAGATTCTCTTTATTGAAAAACGTTTTTTAACAAGAGGGAGGCTTATTGACTCCCAAGTACCAGAAAGACTCATGGACTCAGACACCAGAGGGTTTGATAGGCAGCAACAAATGATACATAGAGGCTAACAACCACAGTAAACAGAACGAGCATTAAAATGCAGATTAATGGGCTTTGTTCCAAATACGGTGCATTCCCTGTTCAAACCACAGTATATTTATGAACATTGTTCAGTATTTTCACAGCACTTTCCCTCTGACATACTGAAACTACACCCTATCTTACAGCAACGGAGACTTGTAATTTGTCAGCACAGGAGGCATTATCAAATACATGAGACACACAACTGTAGTCTGAAGTGAGTTTATTTATTCCATTTAAGAATTTTTAGGACAACCTGGATAAAACCGACGAGCAGCAACAGTGGTCTTTTAAAGAATTTTTTTTATTTTTTTTTTGCCATTCCTCAGCTGCAGACCACCTTAGAAGGACGCATTTCATCTGCAGGAAAAGTGCTTTCACTCAGAACAGTATATTCACCAGTGTGAAGAGGGGATTTTTATGCATGTTATGTATTTTTTTTTTCCTAAACTTGTATAAGAATACAACCCAGAACAGCCCATCTACTTTTTTCATAGGTATATATTTATGTGTGTGTACAATCCTACTAGTTAAGTCAGAGCATTATTTTAAGTCTGCTTTCCAAAATAAAAGGAAATGCTCATCAGAACTGTCATTCAGTGATCTCCATCCTAGTCACATCAAATTTTGAATCTCTCAGCCAAGGCCCTCACAATTTAGCAAAGGATTTAGTAGATGAAAGGAATATCTCAGGTTATCAGGTTATTTAAAATTTCTGAAGGAAGCTAACAGAGAGCGAAGACTCTCCATGTCCTCAGGAAGAACAGTTCATTGTAATTCCACACAATACTCATTCCAGCAAACATCAGATATTGGACCAAACGGGACAACCCTGCTGGCTATGTAGTCACTACATACAGTTCAGACAAATTCGTAAGACATTTTACTAACCTGACTAACAAACCTGAGAAGGACATGGGAAAGGAATTGGGAGTTCTGCATCAGGGATATCGTAGAGAGCATTATGGAGTAGCATGTTTCCTAGCATGTTTCCAGCTACTAAAACATATTAGCTGATTCAGTTTCATTTTAGTTTAAATGAACGACTCTCAGAGATATTAGCAAAACTATAGTGTGATTTGTCACTTCCTTTATTTTATAGTACACCAATTTCATTAAAAAGAAAACTCATCTGTGAGCCATAATATTTTATGCAATGACTGAATTATTGTAGAATAAATTGTAGTTTATCATTAAAAAGCTAGATACATATGAAAATATATACTGTCATTAGGGAACACTTATAATCTATTTTTTTAACTGTGTTTAAGTGTACTTGTGGCATGAGAGCACATCATACAAGGAATTATGAAAAATTCATTGACTGATAGTTCCCTTTTAGGACTAGCTATATTTCTAATCACTCTCCAGAATGAACTGAAATGAATCTCCACCACACCTGGGACTGGCACTTAGAACAGGTAATGAATTTTCTATCCATTGGATGATCACACGTAGCAAAGCTGCTGAAAAGCCACCTACTTACCCTGGACTGATGGAAGACTGAATGCAAAGATCTGTTTTATGGGTGGGAATTACTGTTTAATGATATGGGTGGGAATTATCGTGTTTAATAATAATGCAGAGCACTACTGCTTTTATTTCCAAATAATGTTGAAAGGATTTATTAAATAACTTTTATTGAGACACTTATTGACAGCAACTACTTGTAATCATCAGATTAAAGTGCTCTGTCATATTTTACAAGAAATCAATTTTGGATGCAGCAGTGTTATTATAATTCTGCCACAAAACAAGGAATGCTGAACTCCTGTTTCCAGGTGTATACATCTCAGTCAGACTTTTGTTCCAGTCCTCTTTTTCCTTCTTAACAGTCAAAACAATCACCTCAGCTCTTTTCAAGAGATGTCACAGCAAAAGACAACCACTTGGGCACTCTTTATTTTACTTTTTATTTTTCAATTTTGACAAGATACAGAAAGGAAAAATAAAGTATAAACCCCCACAAAAGAAGTGCAGGATTCAGGGCAGCTGAAAAATGCAAAGGAAGCACTCCGTATTTTGGTTGAGGATTTCCTTAGGTGCATCTTTTTACACGAAGCACAGAAAGCCAAGCTTCTCTCTTTTGTATGCTCACTTCGGGGGATTTTGTGCAACATGAGTTCCTGTCCATTTTAATGGATTTTCCCCTAAAATTTATCTTCTCTGGTCATGCACTGCAACTGTTAGGGTCTTGTAGACAAAAATATCCCTTTTGCCAGGCATACAGTTCTGTCACTGGGCAAAATCACCACAGACCTTGGAGTGTATGAAAAATAATACAATATGCCCAGAACTGTGACACAATCAAAAATGACAAGCCTTAAGAATCATATTCACAACAGTATTTTGAATGAACCTCAGCAAGACAAAGCAACAGTGCAAAAGATTTTGCTTAAATTGAGCTGCATAACATAAAAGTCCCAAAGAGCTTTTTAGCTGTATAAATCCAGAAAAATGGCTGTATCTTAGGTGTTATTATAAATATATATATGTGTGTGTGTGTGTGTGTGTGTGTTTTTAGAAAGGCAAGCAAGTAAGAAGCTGGAGAAGGATCTAAGGAAGATAAAAAAGCTAATGCTCCCAAGGGCAGGCTAATAGTAACATATCTCTACTGATCAAAAGGTGGAAGATTAGCAGTAAGAGGACAATGGACAATGCAGCATATATTCAATACTGCTAAAAACACTAGCCAGACATGTACATATAGGGGATATGAACAGATAAATACTTTAATACTATTCCATGCAAAGAAAAACTGCCTAATGAGTCAGATACAAAGCATCAGCATGGATACAGAAGTTGAATGTGAGCTTGCAAATGAAATTAGAGAAGTTTCATAGGAAATTTAGAGGAAATATGATGAGGACCCTCCAACTGAAAGAGGAACTTCATTCTCAAGAAGATTTCATTAGAATATTATCAGCGACATCTAAAAGTGAGCATGACAGTACTGTTTCTGAGATTTGGCTTGGGATGTGGTCCTTAGAGATTTATGAGAACTCTTCCAGTACAGTACAAGAGCTTTAACAAAACCAGAAGGGAGGAGCTCCTGCTAGTTATTGAAAACTATATGTTCAGTGAACATACGGATAAAAAAGACATACCAGACAGTATCTGCCAGAGCAATTAAGATGTTCTCTTTTTCATAAAAGGAATGCTACGATTTTCCTGATGAAAAAGGTGCCAGAACAATAT